GGATAACTGTTGCCTCTTAAAAAGGAGTTACGCAATATTCCTTCTGTTTCTATTGTGTGGAACAATTTGAGAAGTGTTGATAGGCTACTGCACTAAAACCGTATGGGCCTGGGTTTTTTTTCATTGGGAGATTTTTAATGATAGCTTCTATTTCTTTAAGGGTAATAAGTCTATTTAAATTGTTTATCTGATCTTGGTATCTGGTATCTCTCCAGAAAATTGTACATTTCTTTTAGATTTTCCGATTTTATGGACTCCCTTTCATTTCTGATTTTGTTAATTTGGATATTCTCTCTCTGACTTTTGGTTAATTTAGATAAGAGTTTGTCTGTCTTGTTGATTTTCTTAAAAAAAAAAAAAATGATTCTTTATATTGTTCTCTTTTGTTTCTGTAGTATTGATTTCAGCCCTCAATGTGATTATTTCCCATCATCTACTCCTGGGTGAGTTTGCTTCTTTTTGTTCTAGAGCTTTCAGGTGTGCTGTTAAGTCCCTAGGGTGGGATGTCTCCAAATTCTCAATGTAGGCACTTAGTGCTATGAACTTTCCTCTTAGCACTGCTTTCATTGTGTCCCATAAGTTTGGGTATGTTGTGCCTTCATTTTCATTGAATTTTAGGAAGTCTTTAATTCTTTCATTATTCCTTCCTTGACCCAGTGGTGATTCAGATGAGCGTTATTCAGTTTCCATGAATTCGTAGGCTTTCTGCAACTAGTGTTGTGCATTCTAATTAAGACATTGTAATTCATTAAGATACAAGGGATTATTCCTTTTTTTTTTTTCTTTTTTTTTTTTATCTATTGAGATTTGTTTTGTGACCAAGTATGTGGTCAGTTTTAGAGAAGATTCCATGGGGTGCTGAGAACAAGGTAAATTATTTTGTGCTTGAGAGGAATGTTCTATAGATGTCTGTTAAGCCCATTTGAGTCAAAACATATGTTAGTTCCCTTATTTCTCTTTTAAGCTTCTGTCTGTCAGACCTGTCCAGTGGTGAGAGTAGGGTATTGAAGTCTCCCACTATTAGTGTGTGGGGTTTGATGTGTGGTTTAAGCTTTAGTAATGTTTCTTTTACAAATCTTGGTGCCCTAGTATTTGGGGCATAAATGTTCAGAATTGAGACTTCATTTTTATGGACTTTTCCTACAACAAATATGAAATGTCCTTCTTATCTCATTTGACTACTTTTAGTTTGAAGTCTAATTTGTTATATATTAGGATAGCTATTTTAGACCAGCTTGTTTCTTAGGTGCATTTGATTGGAAACTCTTTTCCCAACATTTTACTCTGAGGTAATGTCTGTCTTTGAAGTTGAGGTGTGTTCTTGTATGCAGCAGTGGGATGGACCCTGTTTTTGTGTCCATTCTATTAGCCTGTGTCTTTTAGATATTAATGACCAATGATTGTTAATTCCTGGGTGGTGGTGGTTTTGTGTGTGTGTCCTTTCTTTGGGATTTGCTGGTAGGAGATTATCTATTTCCTTTGTTTTCATGGTTGCAGCTTACTTCCTTTGGTTGGAATTTTCCTTCTAGTACTTTCTTTTCTGTAGGGTTGGATTAAGCAATAGGTATTGTTTAAATCTGGTTTTGTCATGGAATATCTTGTTTTCTCCATCTATAGTGATTGAAAGTTTTGCAGAGTATAGTAGTCTGGGCTGGCATCTGGTGTCACTTTCGTATCTACCAAATGTCTGTCCAGGACATTCTGGCTTTCAGAGTCTTCATGGAGAAGTTGGGTGTTACTCTGATAGGTCTGCTTTTATATATCACTTGGCCTTTTTTCTCGGCATCTTTTAATATTCTTTCTTTACTCTGTATGTTTAGTGTTTTGATTATTTTTGGGTCTAGGTCTTGCAATGTTGGGGGACAGACCACCAAAGCCTATTAAACCAGAAGCAAGCTTTATTCCAGAAAAAGAAAAAGAAAGTCACGGAGGGGCACAAAAGCTTATCAGCTAGCTGAGACCACAGCCAGAGTTCTAGCTTCTGAAACTGTAGCAATGGGGGCTGGTTTGGGGCCTCTTATATAAAATCAATCACCTGGTGTGGGTCAAAGAGCTTTTACAACCCAGAGGTCAGTCTTAAAATTACATTACGTTTTAAGTTTTGCAACTTTTGGTTATAGGATGTTAACTTAGGATTCTTGAGAAAGCCTGTGGCTGACACAGCTGCTTTTCACTGTCTCTGAAAGAATGCAAGCAAAAGCAAGCAAAAGAGTCACATAGGAGGACAGTTAAAAATTAAGGGAATGCAATGCAGAGGGTCCCATAGAGGCAACAGTTAGAAGCTAATCTTTATCTGCTATATCTGCCTAACTGGGAAGCTGGGAGGTGGGAGGTTAAAAGTTTACCTCTGTACACAGTGGCTGCCCCAGGATGCCTGCTCTTGAGTCATAAAGTGGTTGTTAAAGGTTAACAGTGACTACCATCTTTATTTTTTCCCCCAAACGTGTTTCCCCAATATATACAATTTTATATTTTTATTTTCCTGGACCCTTCATTTCTATATTCCTATTTCTGGACCCTTCAATTATTATGTGGTGAGGGGACTTTTTGCTGTTGTTGTTGTTTGGTCCAGTCTATGTAAGCTTTTTGTATCTTCATAGGCATGCCCTTCTTTAGGTTAAGAACGTTTTCTTGGGACTGGAGAGATGGCTCAACAGTTAAGAGCACTGGCCGTTCTTCCAGTGGACCAGGGTTCAATTCTCAGCACCCACATGGCAGCTCACAGCTGTCTGTAACTCCAGTTCTGGAGGATCTGACTCCCTCACACAGACATACATGGAGGCAAGATACCAATGTACATAAAGTAAATCTTTAAAAGGAAGGAAGGAAGGAAAGTTTTCTTCTATGATTTTGTTGAATATATTTTCTGTACCTTTGAGCTAGTATTCTTTTTCTATCCCTATTATTCTTAGGTTTGGGCTTTTCGTGGTGTCCCAGATTTCCTGGATATATTGTGTTAAGATTTTGTTGGAATTAAGGTTTTCTTTGATCGATGAATCTATTTCCTCCATTGTATCTTCAATGCCTGAGATTCTCTCTTCCATCTCTTGCATTCTATTGGTAATGCTTACATCTGCAGTCCCTGTTCCCAGATTTTTCCGTTTACAGAATTCCCACAGTTTGTGTGGAGGGGGAGAGGGTGTTGTTGTTTTGGTTTGGGTTGGGTTTGGGTTGGGATTTGGTTTTGTTTTTTGAGACAGGGATTCCCTGTGTAGCTTTGGGAGCCTGTCCTGGAACTTGCTCTGTAGACCAGGCTGGACTTGAACTCAAAAGATCCACCCACCTCTGTCTCCCAAGTGCTGGGATTAAAGACGTGCACCACCACTGCCTGGCCCAGTTTGTTTTCTTTATTGCCTCTGTTTCAGTGTCAAGTCTTGAACTGTTTCCATCACCTGTTTGGTTGATATTTTTTTTTTTTCTTGGCTAAAGTGATTTATTGATTTCTTCCAACTTTTTGTTTGTCTTTTCCTCCATTTCTTTAAGGAAATTTTTCATTTCCTCTTTAAGGGTCTCTATCATCTTCATAAAGTTATTTTTAAGGTTGTTTTCTTCTGCTTCATCTGTGTTGGGGTGTTCAGTCTTGCTGTTGTAGAACCACCAAGTTCTGGGGCTGCCTATTGCTCTTTCTATTGTTGGATGTATTCTTATAGTGCTGTTTATCCATCTGGGTTTGGAGTAATTATAGATTCAGGTGTTGATTCTTCCTCCAATCAGGCAGGTGATATCTGTGCCTCTGGAGGAGGCCTCTGCTGGAGCTGCAATGGGTGGGGGAGGGCCATGGGGAATGACCCCAGGGTCCATGGCCTAGAGACCAGGACATTCCAGTAGGAAAAGCAGTTGCTCACCTTTTCCTCCAGTCGGTACTGGTAGAGCCTGTTCCTCCAGGGCCTCGGCTGACCAGCTCCAGTTTAATCTGCAGGGTCAATGGAAGTCCCATCCCTTCCTTGGAGGCTCTTGGGGATCTGGAATGGAGGACATGAGTGGTGTGGTCCTCAGTGCTCTCAGTTAGGCAGAGGTCTCCCAGTCCCCAACCCTGGTTATTGAATGGGACTATTAGGAATATTATTATTATTATTATTTAAGAACACAAATAATTTATTGTCTTTTTTTTCCCTCCCTGAGCCAGGGTTTCTCTGTGTAGCCCTGGCTGTCCTGGAACTCACTCTGTAGACCAGGCTGGCCTCGAATTTAGAGATCCACCTCTGTCTCCCAAGAGCTGGGATTAAAGGTGTGTGTCACTACCACTCAGCTTCTCTCCCTCACCCCAGATAGAGTTCTTCTGTGTAACCACTTTTGATGTCCTGGAACTCCCTCTGTAGACAATGCTGGCCTTGAACTCACAGAGATCCACCTGTCTCTGCCTTCTGAGTGCTGGGATGAAAGGCGTGTGCCACCACCTCTCATTCTATTTATGTGTATGCAAGGATCCCATTACAGATGGTTGGGATTCCCCATGTGGTTGGTGGGAATTCCTTAGGACCTCTGGAGGAGCAGCCAGTGCTCTTTTTGTACTTTTTTTTCATTTTTATTTTTTTATTCATTTTACATTCCAACCACAATGCCCCTCCCACCCTACCCCCATCACCTCCTCCCACACCTCCTCACCTCCCCCCTAGTCTACTCCTCCTCACATCCATGAGGAATCAACATAGTCTGGTACAATAGGTTGGGGCAGGAACATTATTATCTTTTGACCTTGTTATAATAAAGCTTTCCTACAAACATACAGATTAATCAGGAAGTGTTTAATTCTTTTCTTGAGAACATGATCCTTTCAATGTTTAATCCCAAGTCAAGCAGTGATTTCTTAAAAATGTTTTCTTCTTTCTTTGTTTTAGCACCTGAGATATTTTCTGGCAGGTTCCTAATATTAGTCAAATCTAAATGACATCTATAAATTGTATCTTTCTTGGTGTTTTTATGATGATAACTTTGAAACTTCTGAATACTTTGTAATAAGTAAGAGGGAAAATTGCCTGTTGTCATGTTGTCTATTATAGGTTGTTAAAAAAGCAGACATGATCAATAAAAATATGACTCATCAGGTACAAGCTGAGAGAGATGCACTGGCACTGAGCAAAAGCCCTTTCGTTGTGCATCTGTATTACTCTCTGCAGTCAGCAAGCAATGTCTACTTGGTGAGTAAACAGCTTTATACTCTGTGTTAACTCTACAGTCACAAAACCCAGTGATCTAAGACCCATTAGCATATTTGCATTTAAATTATGCTCTCCTACTTACAAGTTTAATGACCCTGACCAACTTAAATATTGTTTTAGTGAGAGTTTTCCAAAGAAAAAGAACCAATGGGATGTGTTTGTATACATGTAGAGACAAAAAAGAGCTATTTGTTTTTAAGGAATCTGATCATTCAACTCTTAATTGGTTGGCAAATCAAACTACAAGGTAGATTGTTACTCTAGAGACTGATGAAGGATTAATGCTGCCATTTGAAGGCAGACTTCCCTTCACATTTAGGATTTTAGCCTTTCCTCCTGTTAATAGCCTTCAACTGATTGTTTGAAGGCTCTTGACATTATGGGGAAATATGTGCTTTATCAAAGTCTACTGATTTAAATGTTAACCTCATCTAAAGAATAGTTGAGTTATAAAAATGGTAACTGTTCTAAAAACTGATGATTTATTCTACTTACAATCTTTAATAAAACCTGCAAGTATATTTAGCTGGTGTTAAGTGTGGTACAAAAATCTAATAACATAATCAGGAATTTAGGGAGGAAGGTTTTATAGCATAGTGCTGAATGCTCTTATTATGTCAAGATGAATTTACAAACAAGGCATTTTTGTTGTCTTTTTATTTTTTAACAAGCCACCGTTCAAATATGGTAAACAGAACCATGCAGTAAATCCTACCTGTTTTCTCTAATGGCAGCAGCATCTTTTTGACAACATAGAATTCCATTATTTAATCATGAATTTGGTCATTTCTTTGATGAATATGTTGTTGATGAAATTGTTTCAGGTCTTTGTCTGGTTCTGTTTTCTTTAGTCAAGGAAATTTCCATATTGGGCTGTAATGAGATCCACTGGTGAAGCTGACACCTGGTGATGCTAGGGAAGTAATTTTGGTGTGAGGATGCTAGTTTGTCTGGGAACGCTAAGCTCCAAAGCAAAGCTAAAAGCTATGTAAGATGATACGGGTCTATAATCTCAGCACTTGGAAGGCAGAAGCAAGAACACTGTAAGTTCTAGGCAAGTCTGAGCTATATCGAAGACACCCTGAGAGAGAGGGGGGGGGACAATAAGGTCAAGGAGAGCACCTTCACATATGTCTAAGTTCTAAAATAGTGTAAAATAGCATTCTGTTCTTCAGGTGATTCACTGTAAGAAAAAGAATACCTAATAGAAGAGACCACTGTGACCCATGACCAATTCTGGCTGTTATGAGCTAAGAAAAGCATATGCTTTTTTTTTTTTTTAAGCCCTGGGTTCAGTTCCCCAGTACCAAATATATTGGTTATGGTGTTATGAATATGCATTTAATCCCAGCCCTAAAGAGGTAGAGGCAGGAGGATTAGGCATTCAAGCAACTTTGAAGCCACCCTAGATATAGAAGGCTTTGCTTGCCTTCTATATAAAAAATTTAAAGACTATTTTTGAAAATTGGGATAGCTCAGTGGGTAGAGTTCTTGCTGCACACCCATGAGAGGACCTGAGTTCAAATTCCTAGAGCCTATAATAATCTGAATGTGATCATAGATGTCCCTGTAATACCAGAGCTATAGGGTCACTCACAAAAACACAAATATCCCTGACACTTGCTGCCCACCAAGCTAGCTCTAGATTCAGAGAGAGACCTTGTCACAGAGAAAAGGACAGGGATAGAATAGTATTCCTAATGCCCTCTGGCCCCTATGAACATACATGTATACCACACAACATCAAAAAAAAAAAAAGGCTTTTTCTGATACTTGAAAATTACAGTGAAATTTGAATTTTAGTCAGTAAGTAAAGTTTTATTGGAACCTAACCACATCTTTTTGTTTGTTACCCACATCTTCAGCAGTGTTAAAATAACAAAGTGAAATAGTTGCAATAGAATCTCACAAAGCCCAAAGTGTGTGTGTATATATGTATGTGTATATATTATATTGTATTGTATTATATTATATTATATTATATTATACCCTTGAATGCTACATCCAAAGAAGGTGGGAAGGTTGCCTTGTTAATAACAGGGACCAGATACCAGATGTTTCCAGGATGTCAGCATCTTGCTTCAAGAATTGAAGAAACACACACAAATAGCAGTTTTATTCAAAGGCACAGTGAATATGCAGTTTAGATAGCTAAAGAAGAATAGCAGACACTGAGAAATTTGCTCCAAAGCACCTGGTGTTGCCTGGGGCTTCCAGAAGGAAGAGGAAGATTTAATTTCTAGGGGAAGGGTATGGGTAGTTTTCTGTTTGATTGATAATCTTAGGATATGTAAACTTTTGCCTACCGTACATATCCTTTCCTGTGATGCATCTGATTTTAATTATATGTATGCCAACTTATGCATAGGCATAAGGTCATAAATGGGGATTTTCCCTTAGAAGTCGGTGTTTAGAACATGGATTGTCTTACTGGACCAGTGGAAACTGGACTAGCCCACCACCTCTGATTTCAGGATAAGTTTGAAGATATGTTTGGCCACAAATGAAGAGCTCATAAGGATTGCTAGGGAGGTATAGGTCAGGGTGACCTAACTGCTTTGTTTGGAAAGGGGCTGTACATCCAGCTAAATCCAGATAGGGCTCAAACCAGACATGATCCCTGGTTGGTTAGCTATATATGTGCTTGTCTGCCTCTACTTAATCCTTTGATTCTTCCTGAGGCCTCTAAATGCCTTCATAGCATCCTGTTTTACATGTGTGTATTTAACTTGTTGGTAACCAGTAGCTTCCAATCCTATTAAAACAGTAGGTGAATGGTAGGTGTAATTATTCAACATAATAGCTTTTTGTTCTCACTCTAGAAATGCTGTAATAATTAAGCAGCTCTAATATTTTTATTTCTTTATTTGTTTGTTTTTGGTTTATTGTTTATATGTGGTACTGAGGCCCAAACCCAGGGCTCTACACATGCTAGGACTATTTTTGTTTAATCTATACATTTGATGACAAATATCTCTTACCTATCCAACTTTATTACTGGTTTAAATCTTGGTACTCAAAATGTGGTTCATAGACCAACAATGGCAACACTGTCTAGGGGCTTATTAGAGATCCAGATTACTGGAGCTCAGTGGTAAATGCTTGTCTAAGAACCACAAGACCCAGGAATTAGTCCCCAGGTATGGGAGCTGGGGGGCGGGGAGCAGGGGGAGAGCAAAAAGAAAACAGAAACTCAAACTCAATTATTAGTCTCATCTGGCAGCCTTCTCCAAAAAGGACTGTATCACTTCTATACTTATGCCAAATATTCATAATATGAATCGAATCATAAGGAAATAATCTAGTAGCCCCTAATTTCCTTCTATAAACACACCTATTTTCTTCAACATTGTTTTTATCATGGAAGATGCATGCTGAAAATTTGCTTCAGATTACAGGCACCTAGAGTTAAACATGAAGTGAATGGGGAGTGGGTTGGGGAACTATAAAGGACAATATTGAGATGGTCATAGCAATATAAAAATACTACATATTGGAATTTTATTGCTGTGTTCTTATGTAAGGGTGTCTTATTCAGAACGAGCCTGTAGTCTCAGATTTGAGAGGTAAAGGCAGGAGGATTGCGAACCTAGGCCAGCCAAGTGTACAGAGGAATACTGTCTCAAAACAGAAGCTTCATGTACAGTTCATTAGCTTCTAAACTTAATATCAAATTAGTCAGCAAAAAGTAATGTACTAGCCAGGTACAGTGGTGTGCTTGTGATTGATTGTAGCTATGAAAGAAATGAAGGCAAAAGAGTCTACGGAACCCAGGAGTTCAAGACTAGTCTGAACAGCATATTAAGACTCCCCATCTCAAAAGAAATATTACATACTAAAGTAAAATTACATATTAAGACCAGGTTTGCTGAGGTTATTGTAATTTTTAAATTAAAAAGCTTAATCTAAACAAAAACATATTAATGTACAATAATTATATTAATTTATTCAAGTATAGATGTTAATATATATCTTAGGGTTTCTAATGAAACAGCATACCCAAAAGCAACTTAGGGAAGAAAGGGTCTTTATTGGCTTATATGTCCTGAGTCACAATCCACTAAAGGAAGCAGAAGACTGGAGATAGGAGCTGAACCAGAGGCCATGAAGAAATGCTACTTACTGCCTTGCTCCTCATGGGCTTGCTCAGCCTGCTTTCTTACAGCATCCAGGACCACCAGCCCACAGGTGGAACCCCCCAGTGGGCTGTGTCCTTCCATCAATCACTAATTAAGAAAATGCCCTACAGACTTGCCTACAGCCCTCACTCCTCTCAAATGACTTTAGTTTGTATCAAGTTGACATAAAAAAAACTAGCTAGCATAATACATAATAGTAATGCTAAAATATATATGTGGAAAAGAAGAAGAAGCCAAAACTGGCCCAAGCTAAAAAATTTATGAACTGAGATGTTGACAAATGGGAAGTAATTCTAATAGCCTTTGAAGTTTTGCATAACTCTGGTTTTTGTTCAAACTGACCAGTTCAGTTTTAACCAGAAAAATAATATGAAAAGCCAGGATTGGTGATATATGCCTATCATCCCAGTACTTAGAAAGCTGAAGCAGAAAAATGAAAAGTTCAGTGCAATGAGTGATACCAAATATGTATGTATGTATATATGTATATATATGTTTTATTTTGTAACTGTTCTAAAAAATAAAACTCTAACCCCCCCCCAAACACTATATATTTCAAATATATTGTTTATAAAGTATATTCTCTCTTGGTAGGTAATGGAATATCTTATAGGTGGAGATGTCAAGTCTCTCCTACATATATATGGTTATTTTGATGAAGAGATGGCTATAAAATATATTTCTGAAGTAGCATTGGCTTTAGACTACCTGCATAGACATGGAATCATCCATAGGTAAGACTGACTTTTCTGTACATTATTATTTAAAATGTATTATGTTTGAATCTTTAATAGATGCAAAAACTTCTTGCTCCTATTTCTAGTTTGCCTACATCTCAGTTGTAATATTCATTTAAAGAGTACATTGGCTCTAATTTAATCTCCCTATATTTTTTAAATGTTGCTTTGAACATAAACATGATTTTTTTTAAAGATTTATTTATTATGTATACAATGTTCTACCTGCATGTATGCCTCCAGGCCAGAAGAGGACACCAGATCTCATTATAGATAGTTGTGAGCCACCATGTGATTGCTGGGAATTGAACTCAGGACCTTTGTAAGAGCAGCCTGTACTCTTAACCTCTGAGCTCTCTCTCTCCACCCCCTAAACATGACACCTTAATATGAAGAATATTAATAATCTCTTTCTACTCCCATACGATATACAAAAGTAACAAACAGACTTTGTGGTCTCAGCTGATATGCACACCCTTCTCTGGTCAGAGAAAGGTTTAATGGCTCTGCTCTGTTGAAACTTAACCATACTGGCGGGCAGTGGTGGCACATGCCTTTAAATCCCAGCACTTGGGAGGCAGAGGCAGGAGGATCTCTGTGAGTTAGAGGCCAGCCTGGTCTACAGAGCTAGTTCCAGGACAACTAGGGCTGTTATACCGAGAAACCCTGTCTCAAAAAACAAAAAGGAAAAACTTTACCATACCTTGCTTTAAAGGGGTGGATATAAATTTGAACTGGCTGGTGGATAAGATATCCAAAAATGATGCCAAACAGAATCTAGTTTGAAACATACAAATTTTTTGTAGATTCTGATATGTAATAAGATAGTTTTGAGAGCTGTTTTCTGGACTTTTTGAAGCCACTCATAAGAACTTCTATTTTAAAGGAATAAATAGGTTTCCTCTTGTAACTCCCCCCACCCCATCTGGTATTTTAACATCAAAACTACTTTTTCAGTTTCTATTTTCCTTTTGTATGTTCAGGGATTTGAAACCAGATAATATGCTTATTTCCAATGAGGGTCATATTAAGCTGACGGATTTTGGCCTTTCCAAAGTCACTCTGAATAGAGGTAAGAATAATGGCAGGTAAGTGCCAACTTCAGACATTCTATTTCATTAACTTAAGTTTTTCTTGTTAATTTACATTAGATAAAATGTGATGGTTAGCCGGGTGATGGTGGCACACACCTCTAATCCCAGCACTCAGGAGGCAGAGGCAGGTGAATCTCTATGAGTTTGAGACCAGGCTGGTGTACAAAAGCTAGTTCCAGGACAGCCTCCAAAGTCACAGAGAAACCCTGTCTTGAAAACAAACAAACAAACAACAACAAAAATGTGATGGCTATTCTGTGATATGCTAGAATGTAATGTTTTCCCCCATTAAAGGGGCCTTGGCATCTGTGGCAGAATGTTTGCTTAACTGGATCCGATCCTAGTCAAAATACTACAAAAAAAAAAAAAAAAAAAAAAAAAGGAGACGACAACAAAGAAAATGATCATTCTCTTGAAAGGTCCATAAAACACCTTAGATCTTTAAAATGGAATAAGCAGCTGCTATTGTTTTTGTCCTTGCTGAAACAGGATGAAGAGTTAAGCATACACAAAATGACTAAACTGTAATGATGCAGAGCTGATTCTTCAGATACAAATACATCCTGTTACCACCAAGACCTTGGTAGATACAATTCATTTACATGTATGGAAATAAGTTCATTTTTAAGTAGTAATTTTTAAAATGCTCATATAAAAAACAACAAATTAACCATTTACACTATTAATACCACAAAGGAATACTGATCCATGAACAAAACTATAAGAGTAAAGCACACTGTTTTCCTAAAGAGGTTATATATTGCCTTAGTACTTTCAAAAGAAAAATTGTCTATGTTTTAAGAAAACAAAAGATTTTAATTTTATCTGATTTTTATGTGGAGCTTTTTTAGAAGAAGAGGGTATCTATAATAACAAAGGGTTTATTTATGTAGACTAGGTTGACCTCAAAGATGCTATGAAGCCTAAAATAACCATGAGCACTTGCCTACACCTCACAAGTGCTGGGATTATAGACATATGCCACTGTATCTGGTTTTGATGTTTTGATTTCTCAATACTAGAAACTGAACTCAGGCCTGTTGTATGCTAAGCAAACATTCTGACACTAAACTAAATTCCTAGCTATTGATCTTATATTTTAGGATTTATTCTAAAGCAATGAGTCTAGAGAACAAAATATAAGTGAATAAAATGATTTGCAGTACCATTGTATAATAAATTGAAGCAAGACATTACTTAATCTCATCACAGAATCATGGAAAGATGATAAAATTACCGTCTTGGAAGTAGAGTGGAATCTCTATTAAGTATAGAAGGGGCTGGGCAGTGGTGGCACACCCCTTTAATTCCAGCACTTGGGAGGCAGAGGCAGGAGGAGGATCTGTGAGTTGGAGGCCAGCCTGGTCTCCAGAGTGAGTTCCAGGACAGCCAGGACTGAGATGGCTCAGCAGTTAAGAGCACTTGCTCCAGAGAACCATAATTCAGTTCTAAGCACTGGCTTCAGGCGGCTCACAGCAGCTTGTAATCCAGCTCCAGGGTATCTGATGCCCTCTTCTGGTCTCCACAAGTGCACACATATATTTGGGCTTACATACACACAAACACACATGTATATATAAGTAAAAATAAAATTTTTTTAAAAAAACAGTATAGAGAAGGAAGAGAGAGAATTGGGAAGATCTGAAATTAATGCTGGGGGAGCGGAAGTAAGAAGAACAAAGTGTAACAATACAATGTATGAAAATACTGTGATGAAATCAAGTCCTTTGTGTGCTAACCTAAAGGCTTAAAAAATAAAACCAAATGAAAACTGAAAGCTAAAGAAGAGAGTGCTACACATGGCTGTGAGACAGGATGCTTGCGCATGTGTAGGGGCCCTAGATTTGCCCCCAGCAACACAGACACAAACCAAAAGGTAGAATATTTTTGGTTTTGCTTTTGGATTCTTTTTATTATTGTGTATATGTGGAGGCATGTGTGGCATGTGTGGAGGTCAGAGGACAACTTTGTGGAATGAGTTCTGTTTTCCCACCTTTACTTACATTCCAGGAATCAAACCTCAGGTCACCAGGCTTAGGGCTTAAATGCCTTTACCACTGAGCCATCTCACTAGCCCTTGTTTTTTGGACTTTTGAGGCATGTTGTTCTTCTATGGCACTGACTAGCCTGGGATTCACTATATAGACCAGGCTAGCCTTGAACTTGTGACGATCCTCCTGTCTCTGCCTCTGCCTCCTGAGCACCGGGATATAGTATTGTATACAGCATGTACGGCTGGATATAACTGTGAATGGTAATTCTTCCCCAGAAGTCCCCTAGCACCCTCTGGTACTATGAGGGCTAGTCAGCAGAGAGGAACCTCCTAGTTCAATTTTATTGTAGTTTGTCTATAGTATACAATGAGGGAGTGTAGTGCTCTCAGCAGTTCTTACAATCTCATTTTGATGAATAGCCAACAACAGTGGCAAATGCTTGTATTGCAATGACTGAAAATTAGTGTCCAAGTGTTTTTTAAAAATCTGATAGAATTCTGGGTTATTGTGCTGAATTCTACCTATTCTACAAGACTGTTGTAGAAAACTTTTTTTCCAGTCCTGACGCTAGAACCCAGGACCTTATGCAAGCTCTGCTGGGCAAGACACTGTACCACTGAGCTATATCTCTACCTCTCAAACTTTTGATGATTTCAATTAGTTAATTAGTTTTAAATGTTACCTTTGCATTTCAGAAAGTTCTCTGCATATGTGTATCCTACACCATAACATAGAAAGAGAGGCAAATGCTAGGTGGTAGTGGCAGCAAATGCCTTTAATCCCAGCACTAAGAAGGCAGAGGCAGGTGGATCTCTGTATTTTCAAGGCCAGCCTGGTCTACAAAGTGAGTTCTAGGACAGCCAGGGCTACATGAAGAGAAACCCTGTCCTGAAACCCCAAAAAAAGAGAGAAAAAGAAAGAGAGGCAAATTTTAGAACATGTAATTATTGATATAGTCATTGGTAAGCAACAGTTTTAAATATATTCATTTATTTTTCTTTGCATATTTAGATATCAATATGATGGATATTCTTACAACACCATCAATGGCTAAACCTAAGCAAGATTATTCACGAACTCCAGGACAAGTCTTATCTCTCATCAGTTCTTTGGGATTTGTGAGTACTTAATAAGGAAAACCTTTTCATCATCACTATTTAAAATTTTAACCTTCTTTAAGATGAAAATAAAATAGAAACATCAAACATGAGATGACTTTTTTTTGGCAGTTTGGCAGTACTCATGTGGTATAGCATCAGTTTTTATTATTCATCTGAAGATGAACCTCTTAGTATTTGTTTTTAAATTTGCTTTCAGTATTTTTTCTTTTTCAAACATTGTTATCATATGTATGTGTGGGCGTGTGCACCACAGTGCACACATGGAAAACAGAGGACAGCTTACAGAAGTCAGTTCTCTCCTCCATCATGTGGGAGACCCAGGGATTGAAGTCGTGTCATTGGGTGGGAGGCCTTTACCCTCGTCCATCTCACTGGCCCCAAGCAATTTTGCTTTCTAATAGTTCACACCAGTTGGAGAAAAAGATGAAGACTCTGCAACCATGTTTTCAGCCCCTACGTCTGAAGCACCTCAAGGATTAATTTGCCCTATGTCCACAGATCAGAAGGAGCCTACTTCTCATTCTAGCAGACTACTAAAGTCATGTAAGTATAAAAGAGTGTTTTATTCCACTGTGTGCTTTAAAGAACAAAAATATCCCAAATTTTTAAATTCCTAATAGCAATTTAATAACTTAAAAGTGCCAATATCCAAACAGTCTGTGTCACTCCTATATATTATTACATTAACAATGATCACAGTAGATTTTTAAGTCCCACAGAATAAACTGTCTTGCTAATGGTCATATTCAGTTACCTATAATATTGGAATGATGATTGGGTGAATTTCACTATACATGGGTCTATGGAAATTTCATATGAGAAAGATAAAGTTACTGCAGTGTTTGTCTTTATAAACTTATTTCCAAAAGATTTTGAGATAGTTTAAGTTAAAAACTCAAAATAGAGAGTGAGGTTTTCTTATTGTTCATTGTTTTGGGATTTTGTTTGTTTGTTTTGTTTCATTGGTGTTTTGAGACGAATTCTCAATATATTGTCCAGGCTAATGTTGAACTATTAGCCCAGGTTTAAATTTTAGTGTTCTTGCCTCAGCCTCTTGAGTAACTAATGTTACAGGTATGTGTCACCACATCTGGTTTCAAAGAAAAGTATATTTTTCCATTTAAAAGAAAATGCTGGGTAGGGTGGCACACTCCTTTAATTACAGCACCAGAAGCAGGTGGATCTCTGAGTTCAAGGCCAACCTGATCCACCTAGAAGATTTGTATATAAAAAAGTAAGTTAGAGTGAGTCAGTGGTGTCGCACACCTTTATTCTGAGCACTCAGGAGGCAGAGGTAGGTGGATCTATGAGTTTGAGGCCAGCCTGGTATCCAAAGCTACACAGAGAAACCCTGTCTCGAAAAATCAAAAATAAGTAAATGAATAAATAAATAAAGTTAGATTAGATGGGCTTTGAAATTCCCTTCCTAATAATATTTACTATGTTATAAAATTGTAATTTCCTGGAGTTTAATGTCATGTTCATCTTTTGGAGAAAGAAAACGGTTTTTATGTGTGTGTGCGCGCGCGTGTACATCTACTTTTGCTGTGATAAAACACCATGGCCAAGGCAGCTTAACAAAAGTGTTTAAGAGTTTAGAATTCTAGAGATTTAGAGGTCATCATGGCAGAGCTAGGACACAGGTAGGTAGCTTGAGCAACAGTTGAGAAATCACATCTTTATCCACAAACAAGAAGCTGAGAACATACTGGGAATGTCTTTTGAAACCTTAGTCTGCCATTGTGATACACCTCCTCCTTTAAGACTACATCTAATCCTTCCCAAACACTTGTACTAACTGGGAACCAACTAATCAAGATGAGCTTATGCAGGCCATTCTCATTCAAGACACCACAATATGCACTTTTATAGACATATAAAAGCACAACTGTCTCTTGTCTAATTGAAAGTGAAATGAGGACTTTAATTCTGCCTGCAAAACTACTTGAAAAAGCCAGGCATGATGGTGTACTTTTATAATCCCAGAACTAAGGAGACAGAGACAGGGATCCCTTGGGCCTAGGCCTGTGAGAGACCTTAACCTAAAAAACAAAGTGGAAGCTGGAGATAGCTTAGCAGTTAAGGGCACTGGCTGCTTTTCCAGAGGATCTAGCTTCAATTCCCAGTACCCACATGGCAGCTCACAACTGTCTATAAGTTCAGTTTCAGAGTATCTAACACACTTTTTGGCCTTCACAGGTACTAGGCATGCACAGGGCACACAGACACACATGTAAGCAAAATACATACATACATATATAATATATATGTATAATATATATAAATTAATTAAAATACATAAAATGATGATGCATGGTGCCTGAGAAGCTGCCCCAGACTGATCTCTGGCCTCTAATTCGAATGAACACACACATAAACAAAGCTAAGGAGCAACCATTTCTAACCATATTTATGTAGGATGAAGGAGCAAGCATACTCTGTGCTGTCTTCTTGCCGTACTCTCTGATAGTCAGTTTCCTATCATGTGGGTTATCAGATCATAGTAACAGATCCCTTGTAGAAGTGTAAGTGTGAAGCTCATTGGTAGAATTTCTTTTATGGTCATGGGTACAATCCCAAGCACTGCAAAAAAGAAAGCAAATGCCTATGGCTTTCTGTAATTCACTGATGAGCATGATAAATTATAACATCTCCAGTGCTACTACAGTTTTAATTAATTATAAGTTGAGCTGGGTAAATCTAGTAACATTCTAAACTTACAGCGTATCTCAATAATGCATACCAGTAAGTGCTCTGTCATCAATAACTCTAAAATAAATCATATATAGCTCAAAGTAAATTCTTTCTAATTGTATTTTAATTTTCTTATCCTGGCTTTTATTTTAAAATATAAAGGGATTTTGTTTTGTTCTAAGCTTTGGAGCAAGCATTGCCTACGTGAATTTATAAATCTGAACATAGTAAGTTTCATATCAGATACATCACCATCCTTGTGGACTAGATAATGTTTATAGAGAATAGTTATAATATGCAATACAATTACCTGGAAAGAGTTTTCACAAAGTAATAGCTGTGAAAATAAACAAGTATTTTCTTTTTTTTCCTTCAGACCTTGAAAGACTTGCATCCAATCCAGAAATACCTGTGAAATGCCTGACTTCCAATCTGCTCCAGTGCAGGAAAAGACTGGGTACCTCAAGCACTAGTAGTCAGTCTCATACTTTCGTGTCCAGTGTGGAGTCAGAATGCCACAGCAGTCCCAAATGGGAACAAGACTGCCAGGTCAGGAGGGAATCTATGTAAGCCAAAGCTAATGTACACGTGAAACTGATGATAGCAACACTGTGCCTTTCCATATAAAAAGAAATGGCATTTGTTACATGGGCATGGTTGAAGTATTATTGAAAAACAAAAACAAAAAAAAAAAACCTCTTAATTTTTCTGGATATCCTATCAAATTCTTTTAATTTCATTTCTTATTCAGTTGTGGTATTAGTCTTGCTTAACATTTGATGAGTGATTAAAGTATTGTATTGTAGTAAACCCATAGAACGTGTTTGGCTTCCTGGCAGACTTTAAATTCCTTTTATGATAAAGACATGGTTTGTTTGTTTGTTGTTTGTTTACCTACATAATTTTAAAGCTAATACTATCTCCTGTACTATTTGGCTTCCTCCTGACTGACTTTTTAATTTCCTCCTGTGATAAAAACATGGGTGTTTGTTGTTTGTTTACCTACATAATTTTAAAGCTCATAATATCTCCTACCCTATTTCCTACCAATTTTTCATTTAATGGAATGGAGACTTCAGAAATAACTTTTTTATACCATAAAATTAATAGGAATGTGTCCTTAAAAGTGTCTATTCCAGGGTGGGTATTATCCAAGTGGATGGGTGTTCTTTAAATTATTATACTTAACATATATTGTTTTTGCTTTTTCTATAAAGTTACTAGTGCTAGTAAGTACAAAAGGCGATAGGAACTTAGATGTAAAATTACAGTTAAGTTCGCTTCCATAGAAAGTTGATAAAATCAAATAAGTTTTTAATAAAGTAATTTAGGTTATATTCGCTTATTTTCAGAATCCGATTTTCCTCATTGTGGTTGGATATTTGTGTTTTTAAAGCAAAGTCAAACATAAATAAAGCAAGATACCTGGGTCTTATTTTTTTCTTTTTAGACTTATTATAGATACATATGTTGTACCATAAACAGATTCCTACTCCTAGAACTCTCATTTCATCTCTTTCATATTGTAGAGATCATAATATACACCTTTCTGTGTATAGCTTCACTTTCTTCCCACTTAGTTCTATACTGAGGAATGCAGTAGTGAGAATATAGAAGTTTATGTATAGTAGAACGGTTATGATCATATGGGTGATAATGAACCCTATGGGACCCTCTGATAACATTACACTGATTCCTAGGTTCGTCAATTTCTGTACCAGAAAAACAGTGAATTGTAATCCAGAAATTTTCTTAGAACTAAGTATTCCTCACTATTAAATAATGGTAGTTATTAAGTTTGGTGTTTACACATTAAAAATACACACTGTTAAGAGTGGCACTGTATCTTTGTGGTAGAGCACATGTTTTGCATGATTCTAGGTTCAGTTCCCAGTAATGTCAGGAAGGGAAACAAAAAGGCAGTATTAGAGATTGCTTAATATTCATGCTAAAAAAGTATTCTTATAAAAATCCTAGTCACCATCTACCATCAGTTAAGCCTGAGATACATGAAACTGTCCCCAAAAAAATAAAAGCATTTTGTTTCTATACAGTGTTAATTGATCTTTTTGATAATTTTATTTTTGTTTTTTTGGCAAGTAGTCTACCGCTGAGTTATATCCTCAACAATGGATTTTAATTCCTAGGGATTTCTGGTTTTATTTTATTGTTTATATAGTGATACATGTTTACAATAAGTATTTTTGGCCTCTATATTTTCAGTGACTAGATTTTAACTCTTGCATTTTACAATTTTAAACAGAGTCACCATACTTCTATTGCAAAACAGATAATATACTCTATAATATAGCCCTACCCTTAATCTAAATATCTACCCTTTATCTAAATATATTTTGTTAATTTTTGTTTAATATGTACTATATTATACTATAATTTTTTAATTCTCTATTATAATTCTTCTGTTTCATTTAAAAACAAAAAAAGGTAGCATACTAGTTCATTAGATTACTTCTCTCAGGTAAGTGATCATAGATTAGAAGCTTTTAAAGAATCTAAGGTTTATAACTAAAAATAGCATTTTCCTCCTCTTAGGAAAGTACCAAGTCATCGGGCTGCAAGATGATGAGCTGGAATGCAGTTGAAAAGCTTTATGCAAAATCTACAAATGCTATTGAGACAAAAACAGATCTTGAATTAGCACTTTCTCCCATTCATGACAGCAGTACCATTCCTGCCATTGGAAGCAACCATGTGAACCTCCCTAGAAAATGCTTTTCTGAGGACATCTCTTGGGAAACAAAAGAACTAGATAAAAATAATGAGAACATGACCATTGACATGAAACAGTCTATTTTCCATCAATCTAAGCAGTGGGCTATAAAATCTAGTGGTATGTCTGAAGAACACCTTGGTAAAAGAAGTTATAAAAGAAATTTCCAATTGGTTGACTCTAGTCCTTGTCGGGAAATTATACAAAGTAAGAAAAACTGTATAGAATATAAGCATAGTAAGGAAATGATCGATTGCTATGCAAATCAAAATACAGGCATGACAGCTGAAGTCCAGAATCTTAGGCTGTCAGGATACAGAAGTCAGCAAAATGACTGTGCTAATAAGGAGAACATTGTCACCTATTTTACTGATAAACAAACCCCAGAAGAATTACATATACCAATGATAGCAAAAAACCTAATGTCTGAATTAGATGAAGATTGTGAGATGACTAGTAAAAAAGACTGCCTAAATTCTAATTTCCTATATTCTGATGAGGATAGAGCTCCTCAAACTGTCTGTGTGGATTCAGATTCATCTTTTCCTGGAATTTCTATGATGGAAAGTTCACTAGAAATTCAGTCCTCAGAACCAGATAAAAGCAACAAAGAATGCTCTTTTGAAGAATCAAAGATTGAAGATGTATTATCAAAGTACCAAGAAAACTCCTTGCCAAAAGATGATTGGCATACTTCTATCCAAGATAATAGCCAAATGTTAGCTCCTTCTTCAAGGGTGTTGAAACCATTAACCTCTAAAACAAATGTCGTAGCTTTTCGAAGCTTTAACAGTCATATTAATGCATCCAATAATTCAGAACCATCCAAGATGAGCGTAAGTTCTTTAGAAGCTATGGACATTTCCTATGATTTCCATGGCTCATATCCCATGGCTGTGACCCCTACTAAAAAAGGAAGATCCTGTATGTCACATCAGGTATATTACAGTTTGTTAGCACTTTAGTCTTTGGATGTTAGAGTAATAACCTAAAACAGACACTTGCTCTCAGCTAGGTTATATAGTATTAATTATACAGTTTTATTCTGTTGAAAGTTTTTCATGTATAAATGTAAAGTTGATAGTAGTGAATATTAACAGTTGAATAACTGTGCTTTTCTAAGAAAATATTTGTTTTCACTGATCTTAGCAGTACTTTAAAATATGAAGTTGAAGTTTATCTTATTCTCCAACAGCACATATATTTTAATTATTTGCCTTTATTTTCTGTACTTGTATAAATCAAAAATTCCATTTCTTTTATTCCTTTAAAATGGCATTATAAAAATATTAAGCTCCAAATTTAGGTTGTAAGATTTGTGATTTAAGGGCTTAGATGTCCTTTAACTTCAGACCCTATTTTCCCACCGCCTGTAAAAGATAAAAGCCCCACAAACCTGTTTCAAAAAGTTGTTGTTAAGTAACGATTACCTTAAAACCTTTTAAGTACCACTTAGTGTAAGAGGAGACAGATGCTTATCTTACATGATATCTTAATAATTCAATCATTTGCCAGCCATAGCTTTTCTTATTCTTTGTATCAATCTAGGCTGTCAAGAAACTTTTCTTAGAATACCTTGGGAGGCTAAAGCAGGGGGATTGTGGGTTTGAGGTCAGTGTGGGCTATGTAGTCAAACTATCTCAAAAGAAAAGAAAAAAATTTTAATGCTTTTTATTTTTAGTATTTTTAAATGCTTTTCTTTTATAGTTATATCTTATTGAAATAATTGATGTCATCTGAACTATTGAATTTTATTATATATAAGGACATTTTAATAATTATATCTAGTATGAGTCTATTTTCAAATCCCTGATCAAGGATTTGAATACATCTTTTATACCTAAAGGTTTTTTGTTGTTTTTGCTTCAGTGCTTTTGTTCATCTAGAAGAAATTATTTGTTGTGTCTTGAACTCTTCTTGAATTAGCAGACTCCAAATCAGCTCAAATTGGGAACATCATACAGAACTCCAAAGAGTGTGAGAAGAGGGGCAGCCCCAGTGGATGACAGACGAATTCTAGGAACTCCAGATTACCTGGCACCTGAGCTCTTACTGGGTACAGCCCACGGTAAGTTACACATTAAGTGTCTTGGATTTTGAATTTTTACCAATGGGCTTTTACATGAAATTGTTTTAAATTTCTTTGACATCTGTGTTCAACCCCTGGAACCCACATGGTTCCTCTACTCCCACAAATTGTTCTTTAACAAACACACTATGGCATTTTTTTTTTTTTGTTGGTTGAGACTGGGGTTTTTGTAGGGGACTCCTGCACAGCAGGGTGCTCCCTTCCAGACCCCAGATTAGGTACAAACCACACCTGAACACCTGTTGTTTTTTTTTTTTTTTTTCCTACTTTATTAAACAGGAAAGAAAAGTTAAAGTGGTAGCTTTCTGACTCTGACAAAAAACAGCAGCAAATGACCTTGCAGGTATAGTTTTAAGAGAAGGAAATGGATAGGTCTGTGTTAGAATGGGCTAGCATGGGAGATAAAGGATGAGGGACAAGGGAACGGAAGCAGGGATATTTGTCCTGGAGAGACAAATGACTGCCTCTGGATAGAGAAGAGAGAGACTTAGTACATGGGCAAATGGTGGTTTGTAAAGGTAAAATGGGAAACCCTATGTTAGGTTGAGATGTTTAAGTTTAATTGGTCATGTTAATTAGGTGAACGAAAGGGGGCTTCCCATTGCTAGGCGTTGGTGGTCAGCCTCAGGAGGAGGAAGTTGCCAAATAAGGTAGCAGACCTTCCTGGCCAGCTTTAGGAATATAATCTAATGGTTTTTAGCAAGGCAGAGGGAATGGGGAGAAGGGCAAGGCCTGCCAGAGCCACATGTTCTGGTGGGCTATTTAAAAAAAAAAAAAAAAAAAAAAAAAAAAGGAATGCATGGCTTCTCTATGCCATGTAACATTTAAAGTGGGAAAAGGAAATAAAAAAAGAAACAACATGGGACTAGGGAGATAGATAGCTCATTTAGTACAGTATTTGTCATGTAAGCATGAGGACCTAAGTTCAGATTCCACAAGGGTACCCTCATAAAAATGAGCAGTGAAGTGGGGGTGACGATGGGATGGTGGCCATTGCCTATAGTCTCAGCACTGAGAGACAGACAGGAGAAGGATCCTGGAGTCTTCCTAGCCTGCCAGTCTTAAATCAGTGAGTTCTAGGTTTAGCCAGCATTTTGGAGCATTTCCCTATTTCAAAAAATAAGACTGATAGAAGACAGCTTTCATGAACCTTTGGCCTCCACATGTGTGACACCCCACACACACACACACACACACACACACACACACACACATGCATATATCACAACATACACAGTTTTAAAAAAAAAAAAAATTCTTGGGTGTAGGGGAATCATCACTGTAGGACATGTAGCCATTTCTGTTGTGTTTGTTTACTCTGTGGGCTGGAGATCAGAACCAAGGCTTAAAGATACCCCAGGCAAGAGCTATGGCACTGAGCAGCATCCACAGCTCTACTGGATTGCCTTTGAGTCTCATTGATCCAGGGAAGTCCCACCCTAGTCTGTGCTGAAGTGCTCATGACTTCAAAGTTAGCCCTAAATTCCTGTTCATTCTGCAGAATTTAACCTCATTTTCTGTTTGCCTGGTATTGAGAGAGGCCAGAAAAGGATGTCACATTTCCATAGATCTAGAGTTATATACAGATGGTTCTGAAACACCATGTTGGTACCAGGAATTTAACCCAGGTCCTCTGCAAGAGCAATAAGTTCTCTCTAGCAACTGAACCATCTCTCCAGCTTCCAAGAATAGTTTTCCTGAGTTATGATCTACCCTCTTTATAATTCACAAGGTTGTACAAGCATTACTACAATATTACGATTCATCAGCCTTAAACTATGTATCCATTAGTAGCCACAACCTGTTTTCTCTTGCCCTCTCATACTACCCCAGCCTTAGTCAGACATTAATCTACTTCCAAGCTTGACCTATTCTGGACATTTTATGTAAATAAAGCCATTCTAAACAACAACAAAAATAGCCCTGGTTTATATCCTCACTAGAATGGGTCAGTCAAGAAATGAGCAATCCTTCCTACACAATAGGAAATAGACTTCCCTGCTGTCTCATTGATTGCTTCAGAGTCATGTCTCATGAGCCCTAACTGGATTGAAGGATCTGGGGACTGCTCCTCTAGACATGACTGCCAGTCTCTTCATCAACACTCCCTGGCTTGCTTTTTGGATAAGGGTTCTGCTTTCCTTGCTCCTTGTAGAACTGTGTAGCTCAGTCAATGTGCTGCTTGCCCCATTTTACTGAAATGCCCTTGTGTTCTCAGCACTTTCCAGCTACCCAGTTTACCTGTGTGATTTCTGGTGCTCTCCCACTTTCTCTGATTGCAGGAGAGTCTATTCATTGTTACTCTTTTTGTTGTTGTTATCATTTTTGTTTATTTTTCAAGATAGGGTTTCTCTATAGAACAGCTCTTTGGAGGTTCTGGAACTTGCTCTGTAGACCAGGTTGGTCTTGAACTCAAAGATCTGCCTGCCTCTACCTCCTGAGTGCTGAGATTAAAGGCATGCCACCACCACATTCATTGTTACACTTATTTGTCTCTTTTATCTCAACCCTTCATGTTCAAAGCTGGCTTATAAAAACACCGGTCATAGTGAGTTGTAACCCTGCCCTAATCTAGGACAACCTTGTTTTAACAAAATTAATTATATCTACAAATGATCCAGTACTTATAGTGGAAGGGGTGACAAAATTTAACCCATAATATAAATGCTTCTATATCTTATTTTGTTGTTGTTTTTTATGGAGTTATAGATTTGAACCTAGGCATATACTCTGCACCTGAATGTCAATTACTTCCCTTTTCTTCAAGTTTGTTTTAGCGTTTAGATTTTTGTTTAATTATTTGTTTGTTTTGGAAGGGGAGGCAGGAAGATGGCTTGAGCCTAGCTAGGACTTTAAGATTAGTCTGGGTAATATAATTCAATTCCTGTTCAAAAATAAATAAAAATTTTATTTCAATAAAGGAGCTTTTTAGAAATCAGTTTTAACCAAAAAAAAAAGAAAGAAAAAATAAATTAGTTTTACCCATGCCATAGTTCAAGTGAATATTTCTTATGAAACTGTTAGTTTCTGCTACTAAAAAGAAAAAAACTGGAGGATAGGAAGATGGATCTTCACTTAAAAGTACTTGTTCTCTTCCAGAGGACCCAAGTTCTGTTCCCAACATTGACATACTCACAATTGCCTATACCTCAAGTCCAAAAGACTGAACATCTTCTGGCCTCCAAGCACATGCATACACATGGCATTCACTCACACAGACACATAAATAAAAAAATAAATCTTTGAAACAAAAAACCAAGCCAGGTGATAGTGATACACGCCTTTAGACCCAGCACTCGAGAGGCAGAGGCAGGTGGATCTCTGTGAGTTGGAGGCCAGCCTGGTCTACAAAGCTACACAAAGGAACCCTGTCTCAGAAAAAAACAAACCAAAGAAACAAAAACAAAAACAAAAAAAAAAACCTTAAGTTGGACAGTGGTGGCACATGCCTTCAATCCCGGCACAAAGGAACCCTGACTCAGAAAAAAACAAACCAAAGAAACAAAAACAAAAAAAAAACCTTAAGTTGGACAGTGGTGGCACACGCCTTCAATCCCAGCACTCGCAGAAGCAGAACAGCAGAAGCTATTTCCAGGACAGCCAAGACTGTTATATAAAGAAACATTGTCTTGGGGGGAAAAAAAAGAAAACATAAACCTTTAAGAAGAAACTGATTTGAAGTTCTCAGAGAAAAGCCACACCTCTGATAAAGATGTGTGTGTGTGTGTGCATGCACATGCGTGAACATATGCATATGTGAATGCAGGCTGCCCACACACTCCTGCCATAGCACCTCTATTTTTACGTACAGCCTGGGAATTGAACTCAAACCCACATATTTTCTTTACAAGCAGTTTTTTGTTGTTTGGCTTGGTTTTGACTTTAGTTTTTGAAAACAGGGTCTAACTATGCAGCCCTAGCTGGTCTTGAACTCACTGTGCATACCAGACTGGCCTCAAACTCACAGAGATCCTCCTGCTTCTGCCTGCCTAATGCTAGAAGTGTCTCATGACTGAGCCATCTCCCAGGCCCAATACCAGTGTTAAAAGTCTACAAGGCCAAATAACTGAAGTCCCTGATTATAGTTAAAATGTTGCAGACCAAAGACAAATTATTTTTAGTTACTTTTGGTGCCTTTGAAAGCCATGTACTGCCCACTCCTATCTCATCTAACATCCTTGTGACTATCATAACCAACACTACTCTCAGCAGATAGCTGGCCTCCACTGCCCTAGAGCTAAGAATATAATGTCATCAGCCTCAGAAGCCTGTAAACTGCATTTCACCTGCTTTCCTGAAACCCATCTACCTACCCTTGGTATCCAACAGTGTAGCTTTATTCTAGATACCTGCATTTAAAATATGTCCTTATGATTTTCTGCATTCATGGTGTTCATCATAATGTCTCTTTTATCTGATTTTAATTTGGGTGTTCTCTTTAGGTTAGTTTGGTTAGTCTATTTTGTTTCTTTTTTTAAAACCAACTCTACTTCATTGTTCTTTGTTTTCCTATTTCACTAAGCTCTACCCTGACCAATTGCTTCTGGGTTTGATTTATTCTTGCTTTTCCAAGGTCTTCAGGAGAATTTTATTTTATTTTTCCATGCATGTGTGCTGTATGTGACACAGAGCATGCATGTAGAGATCTGGAAACAACTTTGTAGAGTTGGTTCTCTCCTTCCACTTTTAAGTGGGTCCCAGGGATTTAATTCAGCTTGCCAAGCTTGCATGGCAACTGGTTTATACACAGTTGCTGGGCTATTTGCGTTTTTGTTATACATATATACATTCTGTCATTTTTGTCTATGTAACAGCATGGAGCAAAAACTCAGTCTGCCCCTGAAATTCGTAAAAACAATGGAATAACAAACCTTTGGCTACTACATTTTTAACTTACTATGAACTAATATTTCTAGTCCTTGTGAACCTATAAATGTATATATATTTTTAATGTGATTTACATATAAATGTAAGCATTTTAGTATTTTTTGGGGGGGGTTGGGGGTCAAGACAGGTTTCTCTGTAGCCTTGACTGTCCTGGAATAGCTCTGTAGATTAGGCTGGCCTTGAACTCACAGAGATATGCCTGCCTCTGCCTCCCAAGTGCTAAGATTAAAGGAGTGTGCCACCACCACCCAGTTTAGAATTTAAAAAAAAAAAAAAAAACTAACAGTAGCAGTAATATATAGTGATGGTTGCCCGCATCCATCCAAATGACAAATGACTGCATTTCCCGTATTCTTTGTCTTACTGAGCTATTAAAAACCAGTTATTCCAAGTTATTAGCTGGGCCTAACTATAATACAGACATTTAAGAATTAACTGTAGGATTTCGGGTAGAATTTTAAAAGCTGGTATACTTTCTCTCAGTCAGAGCCAACAAAACTGTAAATAAAAAGACATTAATTTTGAGCTTTCTGAATGATTTGAGTGGCATTTTCAAATGTTAATTCTGAAAACTAAGGCTAAAACAGAGAAAAAATTATAAGAGCAATAACTAATTTCTTGCATTTAGTTGATGATTAAATTATTGAAACTGCTTTTACTAAATGTTTGTCTTAATCAGTGTTCTGTTGCTGTGAAGAGACCATGACCATGGCAACTCATTGAAAAGGAAAGCATTTAACTGGTGCTTGCTTACAGTTTCACAGGGTTAGTCCATCATCATCTTGGTGGGAAGCATGGTGGAGGCAGGCAGGCAGACACAGTGCTGGAGGAGCTGAGCGTTCTATATCTGTATCCGTAGGCAGCAGGAAGAGGCAGGCTCTGGGCTTGAACAATTTTTTTGAAACCTCAAAGCCCACCCACAGTGACACACTTCCTCCAACAAGGCCATACCACCTAATCATTTAAAGTAATGCCTCTGTCTGGTGACCAACTATTCAAATCTATGAGCCTATGGGGGCCATTCTCATTCAAACCATCATAATGCTCAAATTTCTAAATTGCCTTTTGCTAATCAAACTTAAAATATACATTTAGAATATTTTTAAAAGTTAAAGAATTAGCCTTATATGTGGAGAAAGTTTTACATGTTTTCTAGACTTTACCTTATGTTAAATATATATTGATTTGTTGAGGTCAATTATTTTGCCATTAGATAAAGTTATCACCACCATTAATTCATTGCTGTTAAATAATACTTATGAGATTAGATAAAAACCAGTGTTGTGCACAAGAAAACAATATTGAATTTAGAATCTTTGTTCATTATTTGATATTTATGTTTGTAACAGCTTATGAAGTGTGCAGCATGATGCTATGTAAGTTAGTTTCTGGCAGGTGCAAACTGATAAAATGTCAGGAATTTTACTATATAGATATATATCTGCACTTACTATAATATATATATATGTATATATATATATATGTCTTTAATTTTACCATAGTTAACCTTTAAAGCTTATTTAAAATTCCTTAAATAGGCTGGGGAAATAGATCAGCAGCTCTTTCAGAGGACTTAAGTTCAATTTTCAGCAACACATGGTAGCTCACAACTGTCTATAACTCCAGTTCCAGTTCTTATTTTCTGTCCCTGTCACTAATAATATTTGGCACACAGAAAAGAAGATAATTTTTCAAGAAGAAAATTTTAAAGGGTATTGTTATCTGATTTCTTCTGTGGCTTTCCATTTACATCCCTAAATTAAAACCTGATATAATAACAAAATAATGGGACAAATACAGTTATTAATCACAGGAGTTACAATAGTCTAAATATTTAAAGCTGATCATTCGTAAAGTCTGAACTAGCCACTCCTTATGAGGTCACAGCTATGTAATCAAACTAGTACAAAGGAAAACTAAAATACTCCAAACAAAACATTGAATATAGTTCAAAGGACTGTAGACACAGGGAAACATATGTTGTCAACCTGGTTGACTAAATTGATTATTCATCTCAGCTGCTTCCTTTACTTCTTTAGACCACACTGTTATTATTTCAAGACCAGATCTCATGTAGCTTAGGCTGGCTTTGAACTCATCATGTAGCTGAGGATGGCCTTGAACTCTAATCATTACTTCTGCCTCCAGTTCTAGAGTGCTAGGACTTGAACCAGGGCTTCATACATGAAAGGCAAGCACTCTAAAAACTTAGATACCTTACCCACCATCTTAATTGGGGGAAGAGAGTTGGAAGGGGCTTGAGACAGGCTCTCTGAATAGCCCTGGCTATCCTAGAATTTGCAGTATAGACCATGCTGGCTCAAACTCAAGAGACCCGCCTGACTCTTCCTCCTGAGTTCTAAGATTAACAGCATGAAACACCCTGCCTATGTTCTTAATTATTTTAACTGTGAATGTATTACTACAAAAATGTCAGATACAAAGAAAAAACAATTAGAATTAGGTTGTAATAGGTGAATTTACTTCTTAATGATTTTACCAAGTGTTCCTCCTTCCAAGACTGAATTCCTGTCTATTCAGCCCAGTCTTTTTCAGACAGTATTACTTAGTCTTCCTAGCCTTATGGAACAAAAACATTGGCCTGCACAAAATGTGACTGTTTGGCCATTATGGAGACTTGTGAATGAACTTCCCAAAAAGAAAAGTCCTCATCAGTGTTAAAGATTCTGCAATAGCCAGGCAGTGGTGCACGCCTTTAGTCCCAATGCTCGGGACACAGAAGCAGACAGATCTCCGTAAGTTCGAGGCCAATCAGAACAGGCTCCAAAGCTACATAGAGAAACCCTGTCTCAAAAGGCCCAAATTAATTAATTAAAATTTTAAGAGATTGGGTCTGGAGAGATGGTTTAGTGGTTAAGAGCACTGGCTGCTCTTCCAGAGATCCTGTTTTCAATTTTCAGCAACCACATGGTAGCTCACAACCATCTGTAATGAGATCTGGTGCCCTCTTCTGACTATAGGCATACATGTAGAAAGAACACTGTATACATAATAAATAAATAGTAAATCTTTAAAAAAAAAAAAAAAAAAAGACCAAATGACTGAACATGATGATTATGGATATTGCAGACCAGGGCTGGAGAGATGGATGGCTCAGCCGACCTAATATCTTGTGATTACTAAAACTTTTAAAATGTGTTTTAGAAAGTAATTTTTTAAAACAAAGAACAAAATCAAAAGTGCATTCTTAGCAAACTGCAAGTTGCCACCAATCCAAAAGCTTAAGAATGTCACCAGATAACATCTGAAAACTCAACTGACTTTTCCATGACCTACCTGTGGGCACCACCAACGTACTGATTCATGACTTTCTTTGTTCTTTTTTTAATATTTACTTATTTAGGTGAGTTGATGTTTTACCTGAGTATATATCTGTGTGAGAGGAGATTGTCTGATTCCCTGGAACTGCAATTATAGACAGTTGTGAGCTGAATGTGGGTGCTGGGAAATGAACTCAGGTCCTCTGGTAGAGCAGCCAGTGTTTTTAACCACTAAGTCATCTCTCCAGCCCCAACTTTTTGTTCTGTAATTAATGCAATTGCATGTTACCACTTTTGCAATGGAACATGCCGTTTTCTTTCTTGAGATTTTACATATTTTATGTGTATGGGTGTTTGCCTACATATTTGCTTGTGCACCATGTGCACATCTAGTGCCTACTGAGGCCAGAGAAAGCTACTGGATCCTCTGAAGCGGGAGTGATAGATAGTTGTGAGCTGTCATGTGAGTGATGCAAATGGGACAGGTCTTCTGGAAAAACAGCCAGTGTTCCTAACCACTGGAACTTGTCCTTCAAGGCAAACTGAATCCATGTTCCTGAGTCACAGATTTGGCCACAGATAGCTCTCACTCCCTTTGAAGTAAGAGCTATATTTTTCCATTAGTAAAATACTATTTAGGACATTCAATAATTACCAGGTGTTCCTCCAGTTAGACCTTGGGTGAAGCAAATGAAATACTATATAATCATTTCAACATTGTCATTTCTTTCTTTTCTCTTCTTTCTTTTTTCATTTTGTTATTTTTGTTTTTCAAGATAGAGTTTCTCTGTGTAGCCCTGGCTGCCCTGGCTAGACCAGGCTGATTTCAAACTCAGAAATCCTCCTGCCTCTGCTAATGAGTGCTGCACCCAGCTATGTTGTCATTTCTTGACTTAAAATTATGGGTCTATTTCACTATGCAGAGAAACCCTGTCTTGAAAAAAACAAAAAATTCTATTTCAGAAAATATTCTTTGTGAGTTCTAGGCCAGCCTGGCCTATAGAGTGAGTGCCAGGACAGGCTCCAAAACTACACAGAGAAACTCTGTATCCAAAAAAAAAAAAAAAGATTTTGAAGTTATGAAATATTCAAAATATCAGAAGTTATTAATCCAAAAGTGGCCTTGAAACTTCTGATTTTTGTGCTGTACAGAAACAGAAGAAACTCCTAAATCAAGGTCTTAATGGCTCAAGCATCAGTATACTGGTTTCAGTTGTGAAGTACTTGTATGAAATGCTTGCAAATTCATCTTGTCTCCTCTTAAATTCCAGGTCCTGCAGTAGACTGGTGGGCACTTGGAGTCTGCTTATTTGAATTTCTAACTGGAATTCCCCCTTTTAATGATGAAACTCCACAACAAGTATTCCAGAATATTTTAAAGAGAGGTGATTCTTATATTTTTTTTCTCTATTAAGATAGAGTCAGGGTTGGCGGATGTAGCTCAGTTGTAAACATTTACCTACCATACACAAGACCCTTAATTCCATCCATAGAACAAAAAAACTAATTTATTTCTATTAGTTGGAAATGATAAACAAACCTGTTTAATAAAGGTGTTTAATATAAAATTAAGTATGGAGTCTTATGGGTATGAGAAAAAGAGGCACTCAAAAAACAAAGTAAGACACATCGAGATTACAGGTGTCAACTTCTCCAAGGTTTTCAGGAAGTAGGACATACCCAAGAGTGAATCCCCAAGGGAGAGTCAAGCAATTTTACATATATATTTGTATTTGTAGATATTCCCTGGCCAGAAGGTGAAGAAAAGTTATCTGATCATGCTCAAAGTGCAATAGAAATACTTTTAACCATTGATGATACAAAGAGAGCTGGAATGAAAGGTAAGGTTTTTTTTTTTTTGTTTTGTTTTTTGTTTTTTTTTTTTTGTCAATGAATTATTTTATGCTTGCTTGGTTCCAGGTAGTATTTATTACATACAATGCAATAATCTGACTCTTCAATGGTTAAAAAAAAAAAAAGTTCCTCTAGATATGCTCTTGTATATTTGACTTTATTTTTAATGTAAAACTCAGTGCAGTGTAATTGCAACTCACACACTGAATTTCATAACTTTCCATGAGGTACCAGAAACAGTTTTATATTGTATCTTGGGTTTTCTATACATGATAGTCAACTATCTGTAAGTCTATTTCTGAATATTCTCTTGTGTAATTTTGTATCATTTAATTTCTGATTCCATTACTCCCAACAAAGCATTTAGTCTCAGGTGCCTCAAATAAGACATATTCAGTACATTATAAACCACTGGGAGGCTTTTTTAATGTTTGGGAATGTACACTGGATCTAACTTTGAAACTGAGGTAAAGCTGACTGACACAGCCTGAAAATTATTTTTCCTTAAGGTTTAGGATACAGCTGAGATATATGAAGGTCATTCTTACTTTGTGTCCAGCCCCAAATTCACTCTTCAACACCTGAAAAATTACAAAAGCATGTGCCCCAAAATGCATTTCTACATGAACCAGAGTATTTGCAAAAAAAAAAAAAATGAACTTTGGAAATATGTCATGTCAGGATGGAGAAATGGCTCAGCAGGCCAAAGCATTTGCTACACAACCTGAGTTCAATTCCCAGAATCTACATGAAAGTTGTCCTCTGACCTTTACTCACATGCCATGGGACCTGTGCCCACACTCCCACACAACTTTTTCTATTTTTTATGCATTTGTGTGTGAGAGAGAGACAGAGGGGTGAGGAACGTTACTTGAATCAACTTCTACATGTTCTTTTTCATAAGGTCAATAGTTGGGATCTAGAGAGATGACTTGCTGTTCTTCTAGGATCTAAGTTCAGTTTCTAACAACATGTAATGGCTCACAACACCTATCCCCCAATTCCAGAGCAAAAAAAGTACCTTCTTCCGGCTTTCATGATTACTTGTGAACATAAGACAAACACTTGAGTGTTGAGTGACTTTGAAGCATTTGTCAACATTGCTCTGTTCCTGCAGCTACCCAAGGGATGAACTATTCAAATCCCTCTTACCATAGGACTTACTTTAAAATGTTTCCTTAAAGAAATAGTTGTTAACATAATACCATATAGACATAGATGTTATCATAAAAGCTTTACCCCAGCCCCTGGCATCCATATACCCAAAGAGTCTGGGGATGTTATGGTGGAAGTTCCACCCAAGCCCACTCCCCTATCTCTCTCCAAACCCTTCTGCATCTCAGAAAACCCAACAAATGATGACCCCCTCCCCAAGAGATGCTCAGGACCATTCTCACAGGGTATTTAAACTGGTTCCCAGAAAATAGACTAGTGGTTTTCCAGTCTCTCTTTCCTATCTTTTCTCTGGGCACTGGAGGGCCATCCAAGAGTGCTGTATCCATTAAATGTGGGCTTTTCTAATTTGGTTTGATTTGGATTGCTGCGTTAGTGGAGAGGCTTATGTGGTTGTAGAGACATTTCATCTGGAAGTCCCACATGGTGACTTACAACCTTCTGAAACTCTAGTTCTAAGGAATATGATGCCCTCTTCTTACCTCATTATGTACCAATATATGCATGCAGGAAAATACTCATATATGTAAACATTTTTTTTTCTTTTAATTTTAGAGACAAGGTCTTACTATGTATTTCTGGTTGGCCTGGAACTCACTGTAATCCAGGCTGACCTCAAACTCAACAGAAATCCAGCTATTTTTTTACAAGTGCTAAAATTAAAGGCATACACCACCAAGTCCAGATAAAAATAAATATTTTTTAATAAATATATCTGCTTAAAGCATGTTTGAACCTAAAATTCCTAATAGTAGGGGAGAAAATTATAAAATGTATGAAATTTATCATTTTTTTTTCTGGCTACACTTATAATACTTTTAAGAAATGAAAGTTTACAAAATAAGTCTCCACCATTGCAACTGTGTAAAATATTGTCTTCTAGACCCACTTTCTTTTATAACTATTTTCTGAAAGAGTATTTCAGCTTTCAAGTGAAGTACTGTGAGGTTGTCTTATATATTGCAGAATATTTAACAGAATAGCTGGTCTCTACCCAACAGATGCCTCCATAGTTATAACACCAAAACAGTATCTTAGACAATGCCAATATTCTGAACAGGAAGAAGTCACCCTTGTTGAAAACCACTGTACATGAATAATTTTTAAATTTATCTACTCTTAGGTACTTACTTTAAATATTGAGATAAAATAAATCTTCAAGTGGAAGTTATTTTTGTAATTGCATCCTTTTTCTGTTAGTCTTTTTTCTTTCCTCCCTCCTTCCTTCAACATTTTTCCAGACAGTCTAACTGTAGCCTAGACTGACCCAAAGTTCCTTACATACCCTCCTGTTCCCATCTCCTAAGTGTTAGGATTACAGGCATTTGAGACTCAGAAACTCCATATGCTGGCCCTGAACTTAAAGCAGTCCTCTTACTCGGACTCCTGAGTGCTGGGATTATAAATGTGAACTACCATGCCTGGCTCCTACAAGTCTTTTAGTTTAGAGGAAAAACAATTTATAGGCATATTAATCTCCTAATCAAGATTCCCAGTATAAGAATTCTATGTAGACATCTCTCAATATTCTCCTTAAAAATAGATACATTTTGTTTATTTACTTACTGCCTTGTCGCTTCTTAATTTACTAACATTTGTATTGTTTCTTTAAAAAGTAAAGGGTTGAAAACTGGACACTGTGACTCATACCTATAATCTCAGCACTTAGGAAGGAGCCTATGACAGAAGTATTGCTGTATGTTCAAAGCCAGCCTAGACTCCATAGTTTAAAAAAGTGAGGAGTTAGGGCTGGAGGTGTAGCCCACAGTAGACGCTTGCATACTGTGTGCAAGACCTTGGGTTCAGTCACCAGCACTACAAAGAAGAAATGGTGAAGATTAGAGAAAAGGGGGCTTATTTCTACCAACTGAATTCACATTTTAGTCAAACAATTGAGCATGTTTTTATTTTAGTACGTAGAAGTAATTTAATAAATAGAGCCAGGCATGGTGGTGCACACCTTTAATCCCAGTACTTGGGAGATAGAGTTTGAGGACATCCTGGTCTATATAGAGATCTGTTCCAGAACAGCCAGAACTACATAGATACCCTATCTCAAAACAAAACAAAAAAGTGAAGAGTCTGACATCTTATAAAGAGGAGTGCTGTGATGGAAAGATTCTAGATGTACCTGTAGTGCTAGCTAGTAAACTCTAAAGATACAAGTCAGTGGAACCAAGTAAATTAAAGCAGATGGAGAGAATGTGTAAGAAATGTCATCAAAGACCAAAACCAAGCTATGGTGGTCCATGCCTTTAAACCTAGCACTTGAGAGGCTAAGGAAGAGAAATGTAAAACACTTATAGCTTGGGCTGCACAGTGAGTTCCAAGCCAGCCTGGGCTACAGTGAAACCTTATCTCGAACACATAAACAAATCAATGTATGCATGGAATCAGCATGAAGGAAGATAAAGTATAGAAAGCAAAGAGTAAAAGAGGAACTTCAAGGAGCATAAAGACTGTCTTGATATGACAGGTGGTTGAGGGGGTAAAATGAGAATTACATCATTAGTCATATGCGCTCCAGAGATAGGGGAAAAAAGTAAGCCAGACTCTTCATATGAGGGGTTGTGTGAGATGAAGGCATCAAGAAAGATCTACTTTACTAAGTTCATTCATTCACTTGTAGTACAAATAATAAAAACCCAGAGACAGATATTGGGGTTCAAGCTGAAGATCAGAAAAAGCAAAGTATCCAGCCAGCTCTTAACTCTACCAAGGGCTGGGGAGATCCTCTTCTCACTGTGGCTGACCACTAAATCTCACCCTTTGCTTCTTCCTTATATACCTCTCTAGTGCTGGGATTAAAAGTGTGAGCTCTGTTACTCATTTAGACTGATTCACTCTTATGTAGCCTGTGTGGCTTTGAACTCACAGAGATCCATCTACCCCTGTCTCTTCAGTTCTGGGATTAAAGTTGTATGCTGCCACTGCCTAGCTTCTATGGCTGTGGCTAGCTTTGCATTCTGATCCTTCAGGCAAGCTTTATTAAATCATAAATAATATATCAGCACATTCACTCACTAGACAAGTATAAACCAGGCACCTCTAAAATAAGGTGATATACAAAATGATACAATGTAAAGTATGTAGCCTATTAGAAAAACAAACATTAAACAAATACCAGTGATATTTGGTATAATAAAGTAGAGCAAGATACATATAAGACATTCTTTTTTTAATTCCTGGAAACAGAGCTTAAGTAATGGTATAATAATATTGTTTTGGGTTTTTTTGCATATCTCCCCTTCAGAGCTGAAACGTCATCCTCTCTTCAGTGAAGTGGACTGGGAAAATCTGCAACATCAAACGATGCCTTTCGTACCCCAACCAGATGACGAAACAGATACATCCTATTTTGAAGCCAGGAATAATGCTCAGCATCTGACCATATCTGGGTTTAGTCTGTAGAACATACATGCCATTTTTATCTAACCTTGTGACATAGAATTAAGTTTTGCAATAATATGTTCCTTAATACTAAATTATCTAACATGATATGTCATTATTATACCTAGGCTTTCAGTTACTAAATACAATAGCTTTTATAGAGTTAAAATACTGTAAGAAATATAACATGTAATCTATCTTTACCTTAAACTGCATATAAATCAAGGCTTTTTTCATTTTAATATCTTATTTATTCACTGCACTTTATGAAAACTATCAATAAATTAAAACACTACTAGGCTATACAGAGTGAGCCATAAGCTTGTCTACATCTGCTGATTTCATTATTCTGTAACACATACACAAATACTAATTATTTGTAGAATTAGAGTAAGCAGATTAACAAACTAGGGGTCCAAGGAGACCTGGCCTCCAAGAGCTCTGGATCCCAGTTATCTAAAAATTAGTGTGTAGAAGCAAACCTCTAGTGGCTTCTTAAAGCAAATCATTGGACAGTGGGTTATTGAGAGGTCCTGACCTACCTGGGGCTACATGAATAAAGCACTTGACTAAACAAAAAAGTATGTCAATGGAGGGCTGGATAACATATGGATACATTTTTTTCAAGGAAACAATGTGCTATATATAAGTACACAGAAGAGAAACTTCTTTTCACAGATGTATATTTTATAAAATGTTTTTTCTACTTTTTTGTTCTCTCATAAATTGGCCTGTTTTCATAGTAGTGGGTGGTGTTTTTTCTTTGACAGTGGATCATAAACATTTTGCACATTTATGTTTCATTTTATTTGTACAGAATGTAAAGAATAAAAAATAAAAATAAATTATTTCTCCTTTCATGATTATTTTTTCCTTTGTTTTTTATTTATTTTATATAACCAAGTCCATTTAAATGAAAACAAACATTTATAGACAATATTTGGGAATTTGGGCGTCGTTCTTTCCAAACTACCTCCTGCTGGTAAGGGGCGCTGTCATGGGGGATTCTAAGAAGATGCAGAAATCCTGGCTGTAGTCTGTAAGGCTGCTTTGTCTAGCTGTTTTGAATGTAGGATCACCTGGTACTCTGTTTCAGGCGGTCTAGCTTGATAGAACTACATTAGTCTGGAAGGAATCCACAGCTTTTCATCACTAAGGGTAAGCATTAAGGTTTCAAAAGACTCAGGTCACTCTCAGTGTGCTTGTGGTAAGAGATGAATGCTCAGATGCTGCCTGCTACCTCTGTTCCACCATCATGTACTCTAGCCCTCTGAAACCATAAGCCCCAAGTAAAGTGTTTTTTAATAAGTTGCCTTGGTCATTAATCACAGCAATAGAAAAATAACTAATACAGGTCATTTATTTATTCAAATGACTAGAAGGGACATTACATGACTGTGTAATTAAAACATTCTGGAAAACAAAAACTAGGGCCAGCAAGATGGTTCAGTGAGTAAAAGCACTTCCAACAAACCTGACCATCTAAATTCAGTCTCCAGTAGCCACACAGTGGAAAGAGAACCGCAAGTTTTTTTCTGACCTCCATACATGTGCTGTAGCATGGGCAAATGCATTCTCAAAAACACTAAACCTGAAGCATTACTAAATTGAACTTATTTCTAATAAAAACAGGGCCCTTGTCTTAGGGTTTCTATATGATCAAAAAGCAAGTTGGAGAGGAAAGGGCATATTTAGCTTACCCTTCCATAGCACTGTTCATCATCAAAGGAAGTCAGGACAGGAATGCAAACAGGGCAGGAACCTGTAAGTAGTAGCTAATACAGAGGACATGGAGGGATGCTGCTTACTGACTTGCTTCACATGACTTGCTCGGCCTTTCTTATAGAACCCAGGACTACCAGCCTAAGGATGGTATCACCCACAATGGGCTGGGCCCTCCCCCATCAATCACTAATTTAGAAAATGCCCTACAGCCAGACCTTATGGATGCATTTTCTCAATTGAGGTTCCATCCTTTCAGATAACTCTTAACTAGTGTCAAGTTGAGATACCATTAGCCAACACAGCCCTTGAGGAGAAAATTACAATTTGCTATCACAGACATGGCATGTGCAGCTACAGGTAAGGTATGTTGTTATGATATTTATTGAAAATAAGTGACTCATCACCAAAATTTATACCTGTCAAGAAGCTACAGACACTTGTTAAAGGGGAACCAAAACAGAGATAAACAATCTTGGCTGTTCCCCACAGAAATCAACCCATCTGAAGAAATAAGAATGTCACCCACAAAAATTCCTTTCACATGAACATAGTTTGAGCTAAAGGCAATCTGAAACAAAACACTAGGAACTCATCTCTATCCTGTATATGGGTAGGTATAAATTCTCCCTCACTGAAGACAACTCTACTGTGAACCAAGAGTAAACACCATTAGAATCTAGGCAAAGATTACTCTATACATTCACATCTATGGAAACTTAAAATGACTTTATCCTTTGTAGGTAGCAGCAAGAAGATCACTTCAAGTCTGAGGCCAGTCTGAGCTACACAGTATACCCTATCTCATTTTTTCTAATATCCTGAATCAAACAACAAATGAGTTAAAATGAATTTATTTCTGAAATTTTTATAAAATTAAACATAATATAGCTTTATTTAGTATCATGAATTTCTTCTCTTTGCATGGTACTGGGGACTGGAACCATGGGACCTCACATGTTTGGCAAATGGAAGAGTTGTATCTACTGGCTGCTACTCAGGATTACTTTATTTACTCCTACTATTTGCTCTCATTTTAGCTTTGTGTACAATCAGTACATTAACCAGTAATAAAAAAAACAAAACAAAACACTTCATTCATTTCTCATTAACCTTTTATTTTTAACTTAGTTTTACAATTAACATAAAAGCTGGTCATTAAAAAAATACCATAGCTGTAAATTTTTAAAATGAGGTTTATGTTTTAAAGCATTACCATTATATCCTATAATTACATTTTTTATATACAAGAACTGTGTGCAAAGTGCTTTTCACACTGTAAAGTAATTCTGTATAAGATACAAATGGTTGCCCTTAGTTGTTAGTTACCTTAATTACTTGAAATGAATCACAACTTGTTACATCCTTGATTTGCATTTTATTTATATAAGAAAAAAGCCATCATATTATAATACCAACTTGTTGTCTAATTAAAAAAAATAAACTCTTGATCCACACTTTGTCTATAATTCAGTTATTTGCCTCCCTCCCCCATTCTAAATAAGTAGAAGATAAATTTGGGTTTGTTTGTTTTGTATCTTAAGCAAATACTAGTAGCTCCTTTAAACAGATCAACCAAGATATAATACACAATTTAAAAACTAAGTTACAATTTAAAAAAAATGAAGTCTGGGACAAGTAAATCATATTCTCATACTTTTTTCTTCAAAGAACAACCATATATACTAGATAAAGATTCTTCCATTCTCACTGTAAATATTCAATACCTAATGCTAATCCCCCCAACATCACACACATCAAGAATGCATTAAATTTCTTTTTACTATACAAAAGCTAGCCATGGTGGTGCATGCCTGCGGTCCCAGAACTGGAGAGAAGTGGAGAAAGGAACATCAGGTGTTCAAGGTCATCTTTAGCTATATATTAAACTGGAGGCTAGTGTGTGCTACTGAGACTCTGTCTCAAAAGGAAAAAAGGGATTTGCTACAAAATTTTTAAATTATATCTTCAAAGCATACAGTTATGAGTGAGCACAGGTTTTGAAAAGTACACAAGAATAATTATCTTTCAAATATTGTCTTCCAGGATTAAATTAATCTTCTGATCTAATGGCCAGAAGGAACTTAAGTTTCCATTTAGTTAGACATTCCTTTTATTGTGGACATAGATGGCCTGTATATTTAAAGTCCTTCTAATACCTTGTGAAGTACACCCCAAAGGAAAACCTGAGGCACTAAGAGGTTCAGAATCCAGACTGGAGTTTACCACTTGCAGGAAAAAAAAAAAAAAGGATTTCTGTGTGTTGTCCTTAGTAAAAACAGTATAAATAAGTTTTCATTTTATTGCAAAGCACCCTATGAAGCAGACACTGGATATCCTCACTTAAAGAAAAATGATTACCAAGGATTAAGTATATGGTTGAATTAAAACCTGATGAATTCTGTGTCAGCTTGGAATATACTTTTACACATACAGTAGGCCTATTCATTTCCATTATCAAGTTAAGTCTATTCATGAATCATTTGTAAAAAGTATCCACGGTACAAAGGATGATGATTTTCTGAGCTGTGAAAGCCCAAGACTTCTATGCAAACCACAAAGAATACAAAGAACTCTTCCATCAGTTTTCTGCTACCTGGCTGACAGTTCAGTGACTGATACAAAATTGATTTAACCTAGTTTAAATCCACTTTTGCGTTGCATTCTTTCTTGCATTTAATTTAAAAAAGTAAATATTATAATTCTTATTTTATAATCATAATAATGCCTTAGAAAAGCAGTTTATATGTCTTATGGGAGAAAATCAGGTAAACATGTTACCAAACAGTAATTAATAACTTAATGTCCTTCAAGCTCAAAAAGAGTAAGTCTATGTATGCTGCTTAAAACCTAGTTGAGATTGATCTTTCAAGTATCAGCAATATTAATTATTCCTTAAAATGTTACCATTTGTGTAGTGCAAAGAATACATATATGTATATGTATATATATATACATATACATATAAACCAAACTATTGGACAAAAAAAGAAATGTAATATCACAAATTGAGATTTTTCTTGTGAAATCCACAATCCATTTCATTTCTTAGATCATCCAGGACCAGCAGTCTTGAGTAAAATGCCATTTTCTTCAGTTTAGTTTTCTTTTAAAAGAAAGCAAAAACAAATCCTGTAAGTATAAATGTAATCTGAATATCAAGCACATTCATACAAAAACTTTTCTTGGTATTAACATAACATTCAAATTCAAGATAAAGCTATAAAACCACAAATTATCATTATGAAGTTACTTCACATGACTTAGCTTGGTAGGAAAGATATAACCAAAATTATCAAAGATTTTTCTGTGTATTCATTTATTGCTGGTGTTGGGGACTAAGCCTCTCATGTGCTAAACATATGCAGTATACCAAGCTATTATATAACACCC